AGAAGAGAAGAGAAGAGAAGAGAAGAGAAGAGAAGAGAAGAGAAGAGAAGAGAAGAGAAGAGAAGAGGAAGAGAAGAGAAGAGGAAGAGAAGAGGATGAGAATAGAAAAGAAGGAAAGCGGAAAGAAGAGGGCCAAATCTGGTTGTAGGAGGAGGTGGTAAAGCGATGAAAAGCGCTTATTTGCTTGGCCTCTTTCGGCTGTGGGCAACCGCTAGGATGGGCTGGTGCTATGCTTTGGCGGCCGACGAATCTCCGTCGAGCTCTCGCGACTCCGAGAGGGTGGCGCGGATGAGTCTGGAGGTCGCCTTCCAGACGTCGCTGCAGACCTCTTTCGATTCGGCCAACTTGCTGGGCGGAGTGTAGGCACAGTCCGAGTAGTAGGCCCCGGGCACCAGGTCGCTGGCCAGGGCGCAGTACAGCGTCGTCTGGGCGCCCTCCCAGGCCGTCTTGAGGAAGGGACGAGCCAGCCAACTGGAGGCGAGCTGTGCCCGCGGGTGCGTGTGTCACAGTGTGTTCGTGTGTCCGTTTCAATGTATGTATGTGTATGCGTTTGGGTGTATTTGGGTGTATGCATTTGTGTGTGCACGCATTAGTGTGTGAGCATGTGTGCCAATTGGTGTGTATGCATTTGTGTATAGGTGTGTGTGTGTGTATGCATGTGTCAGGTTGTGTGGATGGGAAAGAGAGAGGGGATAGGTTAACGGAGGCCAGGCTGGTGAGCCTCTTGACCCAATGGCGGCCAGAGGCTTGGCTCAAGTGAAATGGGCGAGCGAGAGGGAGAACTCTCTTCAAGAAGGAGATGCCCTGCCTGAAGAGCTATCCGTCGGGCCAAACAACTGGACCGTCTCGACAGAGGCACAGAGACACGTGGCCAAATGCTCGGCTTCAAGGTCCTACATTTTGGTTGAGCTGAAATGTCCGACATCCACATTGAAGGTGCTCGGAAGAGTCGGCATACCCTCCAGCCTGGCGCAAACAATAAAGAGGGACTATTGCTGTACACTCAAGGGATTCGGAGGAGGAATGTGGCTGTGGGTTTAAGCGGAGACATTTTCAAGACTCCGTTCTACTAATCGGATGTATCCTTGCTGAGATTTCATCTCCACTGCCGTGATAAACTTCATGAGGGCCGAAAAGTGGAATTCATTAAAAGTCAACAATAAATCAAACCAGTAAAACATTAACTTCCGCGGGCGCATTGGTAATTATTTTCCTGAATGGCAGCTTTCCATATGGATATACGTTTTGATGAAGTAATTGTCCCAAAGAAATCTTATGACTTGAATAGAGTTTCTAGATATTTGCACCAAAATGATCTGTTTGTTTTAAAGGCAGGGAAAGGTGGTGCAGTGGTCATCATGGATAGGTTAAGTCATATAGAAAAAGTGATGGTTCATTTAAATGACTCATAAACATAAATAATTTTACTGAAGGTTCCTACTGAAAGTCTTAAGGCCAGACTTAGGGAAGCGCTTAACGTTTGTGTAAGCAGAGGAGAAATGGAGAAGTGGAAAATGAATTCACTTCTTCAGAGCGATGCAAGGGCACCTTCGACTTATGGCCTTCCCAAACTAAACGAGGAAGGAGTTCCTTTAAGATTGATTGTTAAGAACAAGGGTTCTGTGATGCATAGGATCTCACGTTTCTTTTGTAGACAACTAAGGAAATTGGCTGAGTATTGAAAGTATTCAATGAATAATTCATATGAATTTGCTAGATTAATAGATCAACAGAGTATTAAAGAGGAGGATCTTTTGGTTAGTTTTGATGTGGAATCAATGCATACTAACATCCCAGTTCATAAAGCTATTGGAGCACTTACACTCAGTCTAGATTAACACCCAGAAGAAATTGGGGAGGAAAATCTGAGCAAAGGATCAATCTTAAGGCTTCTTAATCTAACCATGAGCAGCACATACTTCATCTTTAATGATAAAGTTTATGAACAGGCGCAAGGCCCAGCAATGGGATATTGCTTGGCTCCCATTTTGGTTAATAATGACATGTCAAGAATGGAGGAACACTTCATGGAAGAGGTAAGATTGATACCCAAACTGTTAGTTAGACAGATGGATGACTACTTTGCCATATGGCAGCATGACAAGGATAGTTTAGATAAGTTCTTGTTTTTAGCTAACCAGATTTACTGCAATATTAAGTTGACAATGGAAATGGAGGTCAATAATAATTTACCCTTTTTGGATGTCTTAGTGATTAGAGCAGGTGAGAAGTTAAGCAGGGATGTCTATAGAAAGCCAACACATGCTGGCTTCATACTTAACTTCTCCAATCATAGTCACAAAATAAAGGTTGGAGTTTTAAAATGTATGATCATTCGGAGCATAAGACTAACCGATATAGACCATTGTGACAATGAACTGAATCGGCTTAAAATAAAAAATTTTGAGAATAATTATCCGCA